ATTGAAAAGTGCAACCGAAATCCCTGGAAAGTTGTTTTCGAAACTCTTTCGCCTGAGCGAGTGTGTGTGTGTGTGTGAGTATGATCCATCATTCAGTGGCTAAACAAACAAATCTGAAAAGAAGCAGAGCAGAAGCCACACTGAGAAAAATGAAATCAGTGCAGACTGCGATTAAACTGCCTTTTGTAAGCCAAGAAAACGCTGGAAACGTGTAAAAAGTAATAGATATTTAAGACTTTCCTTGGAAAAATCGCAAACTTTTCCCAGTGCAGCAAAGCTGAGGCATCAACGTTAATTTGTAGACGACCGCGTTGAAAATAAAAATTAATATATGCCGCAACACGTTCCAACTTCCCATGCAGCACTGTACCGACTACAGGCAGCATTCAAACAGAGGTGAAAAGGTGGGGCACTTTTTGTTGATTTTGAGCCAAAGCAAAGCGTAGTTGGAAATAGTTTCCATTGAAAAATCGCAGAGAGCGTAACATGCATGCAGCCCAGCTGTGTTTAATTGCGGCTTCAAAAAATGGGATAATGAATATCCGCTGGCGCAGCCTTATCAGCACTGTGACATCCAGCGGAGTGCAGTTGCATTGGCTGGAAACTTTTGGGCAGCCACGCCCCATTGCCCACTAATTAAGTGAAAGGTTCGTCGGCTGGCTCAGCGAGGTTAATTTGATTTGTATTCCTGCCACTTGCCGGCCAAGCTGCAGACTGCATTAAGCGCAGGACCTCGTCCTCGTCCCCCGTCTTGTCCTTTTTCGAGACAGGACAAAGCTGTAAACAATGCGCAAACAACTCCTCGAGGAGTGCCGCCCGGAATGAGCTGTAAAAATTGCGGAGCAGAAGAGGGATATTTAGACGCGGCTTACCGAAAGCTCAGCCAAGGAAAACAAGATAACAGCCAGCAGACTGGCAAGCATGTCGGTCTCCTTTGCGGGGTGCGGAGGGGCGAATTTTCCGCCGCATTCGCAGGGGAGCGTGTCTTCGTCTTCAGAGGACAACGGCTGGCAGGACTTCCAGCAGACAATGTGTAAACTATGCAGGCTCTGCACATAAATACACTTATGCATGCGACTGGCTACATCTGCGCACAGGTCCGACATCCGGGAAAATGGGGAAAATGGGAAAATGCGGTGGAAAATCCGCTCTTAAGACGAATGCGCTAGCTTGGGAAATTAACAGGAACTGATCAAAATCGATGTTAGCGTGCCATTGGCAGGCGTCACACTCAATTTTATTTTCAGCAACCCAAATAAAAACCGATATAAGGCGAATTTCGCTGTAAGTAGGAACTTGCTGCTGATTTTAAGACAACACGAATTTTCCGTTCATTGTGTTTAACCTGGAGCCGGAGTCTCTGGCAAGGATTTTGCACTCGCCGGAGTTTCAGAAATCCTGCGGCACCTGCCAGGCAGTTCAGTGCCGGAATGCGCCACCACTTGGTGCAGTTCACCTCCGAGGATCTCGGATGACTGCCAAGTCGGTTGCACTGTTGTATGGATATCCTGCTTGCCAGTCCGAATGTCTTGGGCCATGAATTGCATTCCCTCTTCCCTGCCGCATTCGTAATGAAGTCTCCATTGGAGCCCGAAAATGGGATTTACACATACCTACTTGCCTGGCTGGAGAATCTGGCCTAAACCGGTGTTTGTTTGTTTGCCAACTGTCTGTCTGTCTGTCTGACTGTCTGGGCTCAGGGGCAATAAAATAAGCAGCCAAATGAAATGGCTGCAGACATGGCCATCTTGGAGGTTGCTGCAGATGCCACCTGCAAAAGGCTCGTTTCCGCCGAAAAGGAAAAATAGGAAAAGCGCAGGAGATATATGAAGCCAGTTGGGCGTCAGTCGCCCAGGGATTCATCCTCCATTTCTCGCGCTCCACGTGGCAGTGTGTGCATCTTGGCCTGTCGCAAATGGTGAAAATATTTACCAATAGCTCCTGACCATGCCGATAGATGGCGCCGGCGTTGCCCGATTCGAACCTAGGACCTCAAACCTCAATCCTCCTTCCCGGCGACTGTTAACGAGTGGCCTTTGAGCGGCACGTTCGTGTTTAGACTCTTAACACATTTTTTGGTCCGCTGCGAGCCTTGCTTCTTACCCGACTGAAGTGCAATCAGCAGAGGCAGCAGGAACAAGGAGAAGATCCTGTGCAGCGCTGACAGACTATGCGATACCCTCTACTGGCTCTACAGACTGAGCACAATTTACTGCCCCATTTAACAGAGCTTTTGTTTGACTATTGGTAAGAGCAATACGTTTTTTTTTTTTCTTTCTTTTTTTTAATTTTTTTTTTTTCTTTTTTTTTCTTTTTTTTTCTTTTTTTTTCTTTTTTTTTTTTTATTTACAATCTGTAACTATATACTCAAAGAGGATACGTAAAGAGGATTTACGACCCGTTAAGCCCGCCGATCAACTGGATCGCGAATAGTTCCGCTGGCTTGGACCCGGCACCTCTGCCTGCGTCCTGTCACGTCCAGCAGTGCACAAAATACCCTGTTGTCGGGCTGACGGGTATCAAAACGCCGGATCTCGGACCGGCGGACATCAGCCGCACGTACAACGTTGTCTCGCCCAGACAGTTTGCAAACAGAGACCCACCCAGTCACCCGGCTAGTCCGAGTCCATCCGCATCCACATCCACATCCACATCTATATCCACACAGCCATCCGGAACCCATCCTAATCCATCCGACGTGGCCCCAACCCCCACCAACTATCTTGCCCCATTGTTTTCCGTTCGCAGCGTGGAAAGCCAAAAAGCTTTCACTGCTCTCCAGTCCCTGCGTCCGGTTGGGGGATTCGTTCTTAAAGATAAAAACTACTGGATCAGCAGCACTTAATTACATGAAATGAAAACTGTTAACATTTCGGACAAGGAACCGGGATTCGCCTTAAGTGGGCGCATGTGACATGATAATCATCGGCATATCGAAGGGGTCTCCTTCTCATAAAGCTGAAGGACGCTTCTCGCATCCGGCGATAGCAACCTCAAGGGTCGTCACTGTTAATTGACCCAATTGCAGGGGGGTGGGATTGGGTTCGCTACTGGGGAAGTGGGAGCCGCTGGTTTTTTGGGTCCAGAGGAGGCGTTGACCTACAAAACGACGACAACGGCAGATGACCAAAATGGGAGCCTGTTGCTGGATGGCTGCATCGCATAACTCGTATAATCTGATGCGATTTTGAGATTTGTGAAGCCAAACAGAAGGAGCAGCAGGCGAGCGAGGGGAGTTTTGGGGGTGCCTCGGTTGCTTTTTAAAATGCAACAGTCGCCAAAGTCGCCGGAGGAGGAACAGCAGTCGAGTGCCATAAAAGGGGCTAAAGTACAAATCGTTGTCACATGTGAGCCGCATTTTTATGGCCGCCGGCTTGGGAATTTCTGCAACATTTCCAAAAGCCTCCGCCGGCTGGAAACGCGAAGGCAGCCTCGCATGAAGAATTTATTGTCCGCGCTAAAAATGGTCAGGGCAGGCAGACAGTTGGGCATTCGCCGGACCCCTGGATCTCCGCTGGATGTCCACTGTCCACTGGCCACTGTCCACTGGCCACTGGCGGCCATTCGATTAAGCTGCACCTGCACTCGAAAACCAGCTCACTTATCGTTTTTAACATTTGAGCAAATCCTACGTTCGGAAACTGCGGAAAAACGAATCGAAGCGGATGCATAGTACGCATTTCGAAATGATTTATTAAATGCTTGCAGATATCTAGTATTAATCCAAAGGGCTTACAAAAAGACAACAAGTTGATTGAGCTTCGAATATCAAACATTAAGTTATTACTCTACATATGCATTGCTCTAACACACCACTGATTTTCCCCAGTGTGCCTCCCACTGGAGCCCCTTTCGCGTTGCAACTGCTCCCATTCAATTGTGCAACAGGTCAGCTTCGCCGCAGAAGGTGCTGCAATTTTTATTGCTTTCACGAGAATCGGGAGAGGCCCTTTAAAGGCTTTTAGCCCGGGGAAGCTCAGGTTCGGGAATGGGAATGGGGATGGGAACGGGAATGGGAATGGGCCAAAAAGACCCGCAGGCGGACAAAGATGATTCAATTGATTGATTGATTGATTGACCGCGCGCCGCAGCAGCGGAAAACAGCAGCCGGTGGGGAAAACTGACTTTCCAGCCGCTGACGTCAAGCAAATCGATGCTGGGTGGCACTCAAGACTCAGCTACAGTATGCTAATGCAGCCGCCTGGCTATGACTTATATGCAGATTCAGATACAGCTACAGCTACAGCTACAGCTACAGCTACAGCTACAGCTACAGTTGCCGATTGACTTGCAACTTTAAATTAGCGAAATTGGTTCAGAGCTAGATAAATTGAATAAGGGACTCTGCTGAAATGTTTGCGATTTGTGCCACAATCTGCGCAAACGAAGTTATCAATGCGACAGCAAATTTAGCTGCCATTGAGCGAATTTTACACTTATGAAGCAATAACGAAAAGGATTGGTTCCGTGAACTAAGAAAATGTTAAATGAAATCTGTTAAATGTCACAGATACATTTGAATAATTATGTGTTCTCTCTTCGACTCTCTGGTCTGTCTTATCTCTAGCTCTTTCCACTTCTCCGTAGTATCTACTTTTAAGTGCTATAATTAACAAGAAATCTGGCAGATGCGCTCTCACACGGGAACTAGTTTATTGATAACACTTTGCTCTGCGCCAGGGTCGTACGGGAACTATTTTAAAGGGGGTCTTATCTTCAATTGCACATTGCGTAGTTCAGTGCTTAAATTAATAAAATTAATTAATTAATTAGCACGCCCAATGGGCTGAATCAATAGAGAAAAATGACGCAAAGAAAAAAAAAAAAAAAAAAAAAAAAAAAAAATAGTGCTTGCAGTACAACATTTTGTTGGCACAGTTTGCCCACGCCCCTGCTTCATCTGGAGGCCCACTTGGTGTGGCGACGGCAGGCAAAGTCCAAAGACCCGATTTAGCTGCTGATTATACCAAACCACTCAGCTTTCTCCGGCGATTCATTCGGCATTTGAGTCTCGAGCAGTGGGCACACAGCGACTACGTCGCCATGTGGGTTCCGAGGTCACTGGGTCGCTCCCTGAGTCAACTGAAGAGCATTGGTTCCGGGCCGTTTGCACGCCAAATCAGCGCCAAGATCGTGAATGAATCGAGCATCGAGGTTCAGCCGGAGGCGGATGGCAAGCCTCTGGTTTTCCCGGGCATTTGGCTGCGTGACAATTGCATGTGCGAGGATTGCTTTCACGGCAGCTCCAAGTCGCGCAAGCTGGACTGGGATAGCTTCGACACCCGCATCCGGCCAGTCAGCCTGCGGACAGATGAGCAGTGCCAGGAAGTGCTGGTCAAGTGGAGCGATGCACACGAGAGCAGATTCGCATTGAGGTGGCTAAAGGAGCGGAGTTTCGAGCCCGATGCACAGCAGAAATACCTGCGGGAGTTCTACAGACCCACAACTAGAAACTGGGCGGGCTCGGAGTTCCAGGAGATTGCGCGGCACTTCAGCTACGAGGAGGTAATGGCCCAGGACTCGGTGCTGATGCAGTGGCTCCAGGCGCTGGCCGTCTACGGGGTGGCTCTGCTCCGGGGAGCGCCGCTGGACGAGGGCGTGGTGCGGCGACTGGCGGACCGGGTGGGCTTCATCCGGCGCACCACCTACGGCGAGGAGTTCGTGGTGCAGGCCAAGCCGGGCGCCCAGAACTTCGCCTACCTATCGCTGCCACTGCCCCTCCACACGGATCTGCCCTACTACGAGTACAAGCCCAGTGTGAACATCCTGCACTGTGTGGTCCAAACGGACTCACCTGGCGGCAGCAACATGCTAGTGGATGGCTTCCATGTCGCCGACCTCCTGCGACGCGATCATCCCGAGGACTTTGAGCGGCTCAGCCGCGTGGTCATCGATTGGAACGACATAGGCAGCGAGGATGGCCGAGAGTTCCACAACATCTGGCGGGCACCAGTCATTTGGTAGGCGCACTGACTTACTGGCTTAACTCACCTAATCCACTTTCCGCTCCTCCCCGTTCGCAGCTTGGACGCCGAGGGGCGCTGCACGCGGATCAACCACAGCGTTCCGCAGCGGGACAGTCACTTCAACGTGCCGCTCGAGGAGGTCCTGCCCTGGTACGAGTCCTACGCCCGCTTCGTGCGCCTGGCCATCGCGGACAGCCACGCCTTCAAGACGCGTCCCGGCGACGTCCTGACCTTCAACAACATTCGCCTGCTCCACGGACGCACTGGGTACGACGACTCCAAAGCGAGTCCGCGCTACATTGTGGGCGCCTATCTCGACTGGGACATCATCTACTCGCGCCTGAGGGTTCTGCGGAAGCGCTTGACTGCGAGTTGCCAATAAAAAGAGATGACATATTTTCCGAGCCATTTGATGTGAGCTTCTCATTTGAATAGTTGCCCCACCGCCCGGCGGGTTTTTCTCTGCTTTGCCAGCAGCCACATATGCTCCAGAATCCAGAATCCTGGCATCCTGGCATCCTGGCATCCAGCAGCCGGAATCCTCCTAATCCGGTTTAGCTTAGGGCGCCAATTTCGGCAGTTAAACCAGCTCGAGCGCAAAAATGAAAAGTTGTAAAAAATCGCGATGATCCCGGCGCTGAAAAAAGTCGCCAAGTTGGGTGGGCGGCCAAAACTGGTGGGCGTTGGGGAAAATGTCTCGGCTTATTTGCATCGCGGCATTGCCTGACAAATCGTTTGTGAAAATGATTGACGTCGGGGCTTTAGGGGTATAAGTGCGTGAAAAGGGGCGGGGCAATGCCAAAACAGGCTGGGCGTGCCAAAAAGTGTACATTTCCAGGGGGAACCGCTTAAAATCCATCGCACAGGCACAGCATTTTATCTTCTCCAAACAATCTTCGTTTCTGTGTTCTACACATTAATCTTGCTTGCTCAAATAATAACTATCAGCATAAGTTATGTATTTTAAGTAATTTTAGCAATACGTATTTGCTATTGCTCTTTAAAATACTACCTCGGAATATATATTGAATTTTGAATTTATTTAATAAAATATTTCCCATAACTAAATAGTTTTATTGTCACACATCATTGCCATTCGCAGAATTCTCACGAGAATTTCGTTTCTGTGCAGTTTTTGCCCTTTCCTTGTGGAAATCTTGTGGAACCTCAGTTTGGAGTGCATTAACCTTAAAAGCGCGCAATGAGTAGCCCCTTAATCGCCCAACACGCGTCTCCAGCTCCTCGAGGTGCCAGCTCTCGGGATCCTCGAAGTGCCGGCTGAATGGGGCAAAAAGAAAGTACTTGGGACCCGGAAACGTTGCCGTAAATGGTGCCGTTACCGTTACTGTAACCGTGCCCTTACCCTTGCCAGCGGAAAATGGGAAATCCGCCGCCTGCGGCTGGAAAACTTCTATGCCAATTTCCTTTTAAATATTTTATAGGGCCCCATTATGCCTACTTATGTCTTGTTATAGTAATAAAATAAAATTTAAAAGTACGCGTGGGCGGGCGGGGGGCGGGGGGCGTGGTCTTCGGCGGAGATGGCGAGCGAATTGTTAAGAAAAATATGAAAAGTCTGCGGCAGCAAAACTCGACGACTCCCAGCCGCCGGCAAACATTTCGCACAACAGTTACAACTCCACATCGACATCCACATGCCCAGCCCCAATTTCCCTCGTCCTTCAAGTCCTTGCAATAACAGCAACAGCAACCGCCAGTGGAAAAGCGGAAAAGCTCTAAGCCAGAGTGGGTAAAGTGGGGAAAACCCTTGAACAGAAGCAGCGGCGGAGATTTGCGGTCGAAATTCGGCTGTCCTGGTAGAGTTTTGACCTGCAGTAATGGGCCACATCCCTCGGGAGTTGTAAGTACCGAAAACTAGCTATTAATGGGTAAGTAGTTCCAGAACTAGAACGTCTAGAGCAAGTGCAGCCCAAAAGTATGCCGCAATCTGTGGCAAGCAAGAAGTGTCGCATACTTAGGGGAAAAGTCTTTCTAAAAATGAATGCAAACGTAGGTTATCTTGAAAAGGGTTGGTTGCCTATATAATATGGAATTTAGCTGCGAAAAAGATTATGAACTTGCTTATACAAAGCGAGTAACTAAGCAGATTCAATTGATCTGCCTAGCTGCGGTAGTGCATTTATCCTTGTAGCCAAGTGAAAGCATTTCCCTGGCAAAATGCTTGTGTGTGTTGGTATGTAAGTGTGGCTGCTGCTGTGTGTGTTTCTGTGTGTGTGTATTCCCTTAACACGCATCATGACGCCCAGACAAAAAGCGAACAACTTCTTTTCGCTCCGCACTTAGCCCCATCCCTTTTGGCCAAGAGCAACAGCAGCCCAGGACGGCGAAGCGTGGGGAAAATGAAAAGTCTATAAAAAGTTTACTTTTTAATACTTCTCGCATTTATATGTAATAAAAATCTTGTAAAATACGCCTTTTCTGCACTCCACAATGCGCCCCATGTGAATGCCATCAGTGGGACTCTGCGGTGCTCCAAGCCCCACTTTCTCCAGCTCAACTCCTCGTCCACATCAACTGAAACTCGAACTCCAACTCCAACTCGAACTCCAAACCCAAACACGTTTAGGGTTCAGTGCAAAATTCTGTTTTACTTGACTGGCGTCTCCACGGCCTCCGGCAATTTGCAACTATGGAGCAGTTGGGCTTGTCTTCACCCAGGAGCGAACTTCATCCAAAAAGGGTGTCCTCGAGATGTTTTGGCTAGAATTTGTAGAATTAGACTGATTTTGGCCAGACAAGCAATTAAAAACCACTAAAAATACATTTTATCACGTAACAGTACTTATTAAGCTGTTATTTGTTGTTACCAATTGTTATAAATGCTGCAATATTTCGAGGGTAACTACTCGTTTTCTTCAAGTGTTTCGGGTGCTGTGTCAACTTTTGTGTTATATTTGCTGCAACAGCAAGTGGCGGCACTTGAAATCCAAGCGGCGTAATTCCAGCAGACGACCGGCCAGGCAAAAATGCTTCTTAGCCGGGCTAAGCAGTTCCTAGGGGGCCAAATGGAAAAGTCTTTGAGCGTTTTCGAGGGTCTGCTGCACGAGTGTGTGGGTTTGGGTGGTTGGTTGTTGGTTGGTTGGTTGTTGGTTGGTTGGTGTAACAAAAACAACAATGTTAGGGAAAAAGGTTTAATGCGGCCTAAGTTACCACTCGCCGTCTTTGGGGGAGCGCCCACCGCCGGAAGTGAAGGGAAGGGGCTGAGATGCTGCGGAGCAACGACGTCGTCAATCGGCATTTGGCATTTGGCATTTCCAGCCATGGCAACGTCGACGGAGGCCGATGAGGCTGTGCAGCAGGCCACAAAATCCCAGTTGCCTGCCTCCACTGATTGGCCAACTAATCCCCGTATATCTGTGCTTGCGCAGGGTGGCGAATTTGGGTGCCCTTCTCGCAGAGCTTCTGTACTTCGCCCCTTCAGTTTAATAGAGTCCCGAAAAGCTTTGCCAAATGAGCATTTTTCAATTTTTCACTTTAATCAAATTAAAATTCATTCGTTGCGCTTATGAAGCGTGCAAGCGCGCGGGAGAGTGGCTGCTTTTGGGTGGTTTGGGTGGTTTGGGTGGGGTCTGTCTGCCACACTCAGACGCCGCTTTGTCCTTGCACATTGCCAAGGCAACCAGACCGTCCCGGCCTATGGACCATGGCAAAGCCCCGGTCCTTGCCCACCAGCCCAACGAAGTTTTAGCGGCTTTTTTAGGCATGATACCTTTGCAGCAGGGGAGAGTATTGATTTCGAATCCGAGCGGATTATTATTTTTCCAGTCCGACTGACCCTGTCCCCTCATTCAATTATTCAGTCGTTATATGATACCTCAGGGCCAGCCAGCGTTTTTGGACTTCAAAATAAAACAATCAGTGAGATAGCATTTTCGGCTATGGGCTTAATTATGAACGTCTAACAACTTTCCCTTAATGGGGACTTGCTGAACATGTCACACTCTTAAAAATCACACTTTTAAAAAGTTTGGACACAAATGATGTGACTTGAAACTTGGGCTCTCCCCAGTTGATTCTCAATTCTTCTTTTATAGCAAGCAAAGTGTTTGTCAAGCTCTAATATATAATGCATTAGGAAATTAAACTAATTTAATATGTCCAATAAAAGCACGTTGTTGTAGCCTTGAGGAGGATGTTCAACCTGTTGAAAGCAGCTTACCTTCCCAGCTACGTGATCCCACGGTATCTCCAGGGTCGAGCCAAGTCCGCAGACGTGCTGCGCCACTTACAACTCGGCGCATTTTTTCTTTGTCGAGTTTGCCAGGGCAGAAACTTTGTCCGACGCCTTGCAATGCGGTCTTCTTGCCACCGCCCATCGAAGTCCTCTCCACTGCCCCAAAAGTCCTTGTTGCCGAACTGGAAGCGCTGCAAGGCATTTTCCGGGATGCCACAGGAGCAGTGGATGTTGTACATTTCGGGCACGATTTCGGATGCAGCGGAATCGGAGGCAGCAGTGGCAGCCACCCCGGGCCGTGAAATTTGATAAATATGCGTATTAGTTTCAGTTGCCGCTCACAGGACTCGCAGGACTCACAGGACTCGGTGGACCACAGGACCAGAGTTCTGGCGATGATAGCAGCACTCAAATAAAACTAAGAAACAGCCCCCGGGCGGAAATTTTACTTAAATTGCGCTTTAAATTAATTTTGCCTGGCAAAGACAAGTGGCAAGGTCTCCCTGCTGCGGTGCCCCAAAACGTATGCAACACTATGCCGCATGAACTTCCCGGCGGCAAAAAGTGCGCTTGGTGCTGAAAGTCGAATGCTGCACGAGTGTGCTGCTTGCCTGGCACAATAAACTGCTTATGCAAATGCAAAATCAATAGCAACTTTCCCACACCACCCACTCCAAATGGATGAGGAGTAGGGCCATCCTAATAAGTGCCGGAAGCAGAAGATCCAGATGGGCCCCGCCTTCCAAAGGAGGCGAAGCGACTCTATTGCCTTCAGCAAAGTGTGGGGATCGTGGTGGGTACCTCCTGTGATTCCATTAGCCTGATGTTGCCAAAGGTTATCAGTAGTTGATTCAATATTTTTATGAATTCGATTTAAGTCGTTACAGCTTTGGAAAAGTATTCAGTTTGCGGCTGCTCTTTAATATGGAAGAAAACACTATACAACTACACTAAACTTGCTCAAGAATATAAGGGAAATGGGTATATGTAACAGGCAGAAGGAAAACTTTCCGACCATATAAAGTATGTATATTCTTGAACAGGATCTGTCCGTCCATCTGTCCGTATGAACGAATCGATCTCAGGAACGACAAAAGCTAGCATGTTTAGATTAGGAATGCAGCTTCCAGAGACAAATACTCAAAAATAGACGTAGAAATTCAAAAAACTAAAAAATGTCCCAAATCTGAAGATTTAAACTCCATAACTCAACTTATCTTATTCGGATTTTGAAGTGGCATACCTCTAAATGTTTTTGGCGCAATTCTCTAAAAATCTGCATTCAAATTTAGAAATTTATTTTTTTTTTCAATTTTTGTCTTTTTTCTGATGTAATTATGTTGTTGAAATTCAAAAAACTAAAAAATGCCACAAAGCTGAAGTTCTAAGCTCCATAACTCAACTTCTCTTAATCGGATTTTGAAGTGGAATACCTCTAAATGTTTCTGAGGCAATTCTCTAAAAATCTGCATTCAAATTTAGAAATTTATTTTTTTTTTTAAATTTTTGTCTTTTTTCTGATGTAATTATGTTGTTGAAATTCAAAAAACTAAAAAATGCCACAAAGCTGAAGTTCTAAGCTCCATAACTCAACTTCTCTTAATCGGATTTTGAAGTGGAATACCTCTAAATGTTTCTGAGGCAATTCTCTAAAAATCTGCATTCAAATTTAGAAATTTATTTTTTTTTTCAATTTTTGTCTTTTTTCTGATGTAATTATGTTGTTGAAATTGAAAAAAAGTAAAAAATGCCACAAAGCTGAAGTTCTGAGCTCCACAACTCAACTTATCTTAATCTTTAGAAATGTTTAATATTTTTCATTTATTTCTACCGATATTGCAGAAAATGTCGAAATTTCTCGTGTGCACTTCCAATAACTGTGTAACGGGTATCTGATAGTCGGAGAACTCGACTATAGCATTTTCTCCTGTTTTGTTGTATTAACAGAATTCTTACCGTGTTGATATATACCACACAATATCTAAATGTCCCATTTAAAAGACCATATTTAGTTTTGATTCCGTTATTAGTTTTATTATTATTATTAGCAATCTGTCCACTTAATTCGATTAAACTTTCATGCTCGTTTTGCTTTGTTTTCGGGTTTTTTACTTTTTCAAGTACACATAAATGATATATATATAACTTGGATTTTCCTCCATCTTCTTGCCTTTGATATATTTTTTCTTTGCCACAAAAATTGCATACTTTATGTATTATGATTAATCATATTTTAATATTTATTTATATATATAGTGTATATATATATATTATATAATTATATAATATATAAGAGTAAATATATAATTATATAATATATTTATATATGTATATATTATATAAGTACCAACTACAATACTTTAATATCAGACAATGTGAATTTCTCCTGCTGTCTTCTGCTGCTTTTTCGTGTGTGTGGGTGTGTAAGTGGGTGTTTGTGCAATTTATGATTCAACATAATAATTGGCAGTAATCGAAATTGTGATCAATTTATCAATATATATCTATATATATAGTTCTATTTGCCTTAGCGTTTCTCTTCGTCACTCGTTACGTTTTTTGAGTATTTACAAAAAATCTAAGAAAAAAAATGTTTGTGTTTCCTTTTTGATTATATTTATGTATTAAATGTATGTATGCGTTTGTATTTCTTTTTTTTTAGCTTACCATATGAATAATTCGTTCTGGACACACACGCTTGATATTCATATAAGTCTGACAAAAAAAAAACATTATTCCATAATTAATTGTGTTTATTTGTGTGGTCGAGGGATATGTGATTAGTAGGCCATGCTTAATGCATATGCAAACCAAAAGGGAAGTGATCTACAAGTAAGTCCATTGGATCGTCAAAACTTTCCAGTTCGGGTTCCATATAACATATAAATACATTTAGCTCTCTTGCTGCCCCTCCTCATTATCGATTATCGATTTTCGATTTTCGCTTTTGCTTTAAATATATTCCGTTTAGGCGTATTAATTTATAATTAAGATTAGGAAAAAAAGGTGTGTAAATAAATAAACGGCTTGACATATCAACTAATGACTAATTTGGTTATGTTTGCATCTCTCTCATTAAGTACTTTCATTCGTTCTTTCGAAGAAACTTTCATTTTGTTTTTCAATTAGCGGAAACGGAAGTCAATTTGTCAGCTTGGGGCTGTTGTTCTTGTGGTACGAATAGTGTTTTTGTCGGTGATGTTTGGTGGGCATTTCAATAAATGTTGTGTAATTTTATTTATTTGTATATATTCTTTTTTTTTTGACCAAATGCTAGTTAACAGTTACGAGCCACCACCACAACCCTTCCTTTTTGAGCCTCTCGGTGAAGAGTTTTATTTTTATTTTTTCCTTTATCCACTCAACTGTCGCTGTGTCAATTTATATGCTAATGGGCCTGCATTCTATTTAAAATACATATGCGACAACACGCCTGCTGCCACGCCTCCGCCCCATTGCGAGTTAAATGAACGACAAAAATGGCAAAAATGAAAATGAAAATAAAAATAACCAGCGGCGAAAAGAACCCAATTTATTTAAATCTATATAAATGTTTTATATCTCTGTGCGTACCCGTACATTATATAAATTAATATGTTTTTGTTCTTTCATTTTGAGGGCCGCACGCCCACGCATCCCACTGGCCACGCCCCCTCCCACTACCATCTGGAGAACACCGGTGGAAAATTCAGTTAACGCAAAATCTCATTTAAATATGCATGAAGGCATGAAGCCGGCCGCAGTCGACGAGACCGAAGCCACAATTGAATTTCTCGTTTCATTTTCTCACTTTTTGTATTTTGTTGTATCACTTCCTCCTTTTTTAGCCTTTATTTTAATGTTATTTGGGGAGCTGCAGGTGGAAGGGGTTCATCCAAGTCATTGGGGGTTGCTCAAAAATTGCTAAAAATGCTACTTTCACACGTTGATGCCTCGCCTAGTGAAATTTTTGGCGATTTGTGAATTTTGTACGCTGTTTGAACTTTTAATTCCAAGTCAATAAATATTATTGATTACAATGTAAACGTTCTTTGTGTCCAGTCCCTTTGAACTGTGAATATTCGCATTTCGCGCGGTATCATCTGCATAAAAATGTGCTTAAATGTGCACAGTTGACAATTTTGCATTTATTTGCCCCAGGACAAGATTTTCCGTGCGCGGTGGCCACACGTGGCTCCATGACTCATACGCCGCGTTGGCCAGCGGGAAGCAGTAACTGTAACAGTGGCAGCAAGAGAAACAGAAACAGAAACACATCCACATCCAGCTGCCAGAAGCCAGAGCAGAGCTAATTATGCGTCCCTGGGCGAGGAGTGAATGCGAACACAAATCTCGGCTTAAATGCCGCAGCATGTTAACTGTCCAGCGCTGGACTGTCCCTGCATATGTTGCCCCCATTTTGATTTATCATACATCATGGTCACGGTCGGACCTGAATAATATGTGAATGGCTCTGGCGGTTGGATGTCCAAATACATGGGCGAATGTGGATGTAGCCATGGAGGGAAAACAGCCAAATTGGACGGCCACAAAGACCCAGAGAGTAGGTGTCGTGCCAGCCGTCGAACTGAACGAAAAAGATCTCGACTCTTGGATGGCTGGCAGCATATAAACACGAAAATAAATTCATTAAAACATTTATCAAGTTCGACACTTGACTGTCATATATCATGTTACATTTCTGAGCCCGAAACATGTTTAATCCGCAGCAACATCGAAAAAATGTAACTGCAATTGGGGGGCATGCATGTCGCTTGATGCAGCCCACGAAGTTCATTTGTTCGGTACACGGACAGAAATGGCGACTAAGTAAATGTATTAAATTTCATTTTTCACATTTTATGGATCTCATTCTACAATCTTCAATTAGACATCAATATTCAGTTTATATCTTAAATTGTTGCAGCTTGTGAGGTGTTTTTCTGTTTGTTTCTGCTGTTCAATTTGTGTTTGTGCGTCGTGTTGTCTGCCGCTTTGTTGCTTTTGCCTGATGCCTATCGACTGGTACAGTGTATACCTGGTACAACAAACGTTCACGTTTGCACTCTAAGGAAAGTCGTTGAAAAGAGAGATTTTATTATGCCAATTAGAGGCAGCGAACTAAGAATCGCGTACGCATGAAAACTATACGAGTATTTCCGTCATGGGCTGTGCTCACTGTACCGAGAGGCTGCCCGGGATGAGTGTCCAGTGTTCAAGCGTGGCCTACACATGCTCCAAAAACAAGTTACCACCGGCGCCCCGATCCCTTAACACCTCCAATCTCGCTCTTAACGCCTTCGATTTTTGTTTCCGACACATATAGATGTACATATATGTATATATAGCTGTATTTGGAACCGAACGAGTTGGAACTGATGCGCTCACAATTTGCATGCATAATTCAAATGGGAAATTAAATTCAAATAAATGCATTTTAAATGCGTGCTTTGCCGCTGTTTGCTGCCTTGATTTTTTTATTAATGCATCCATCAACAAATTGGTATGCAAAAGCGCGTGAAAAATCAACTAGCAGATTGTCAATAAACATGTGCATAATTATCGGCCAAAACTGTTTGCATAAATTCTTGAGAGGCGTTTTTCTGCCCGACATGAAATGCAGGAAAACCAGAAACGATGCCAATTGAAACTCGAAACCTGCATTTAAATACCCTTGCAGCTTCAGTTCACAAATATTTGTCATAAATTGTTAGGAAACACTGCGTTTTTCAATCGCAATGGTTTTGCATAAGTTGTGCAAATATATCTCAAAGAAACAGACAGATGGACAAAACACAAATGTTCTTTGCCAGAGTAAAATAAATATGTGCACACGAAAACTGCTGGACTGGTAAACAAATTGTAAATATTTGAATAGAAATTTGGCACATTTGAAAATTGAATCAATTTTCGGTTGGATGATAGAGCGCAGAATTGTGAGGGGTATTCAAAACATGAAAGTTAAAACATATTTAATTAGGGCCCTTTGAATATATTGACATTGAAAGCTGAGACAATGATGCCTAATTTCTGATACTAATTTTAATGACAATGATTACTAATTTCTGTCTTCGATTTTCCATCATAAAAGATTTGAATTGCTTGCCAGCGATTAGTGTAAAAATAAATTCATGTGATTTAATTTCGAGTTTTCAATTTGCAGTTCCACATGCTCATTTTTATTAATTTAAAATCAAGTAAATGTCTGGAGAAAAGTTATGTTTCATTTGTAAAATACTGAAAAGGTGTAATAAATTTTAAATTCAGAACGGCTATTCTCGAACTTTTTAGTCTTTTGCAAGCTTGTGGAGATTTAAAGGAATGAAAGTGTATTTTAACCCATAGAATTTGATTTAAATAATGTTTTGGCCGAGTTGCCCTGGTGTGGACGCTTTTTGCCAGGTGGTCGAGAGCCGTGTTGATGGTTTATGACTGCACTTATGTGTCGACGCGACCTGTTTGTCCATCATCCCCCATCCGGCTGCGTTGCCCATTCATTGGCCACCCAAAAATGCAGTTTGTTTGCTTCTCTAGAATCGCGACACGCGATGTTATTTTCAATTTATAACTGTTTTTTATGGCCAGCACATAACCGTTATGGCCACGCCCACCCATTGGCACGTAACTGTAATTAGCATTTGGTATTTCATAAAAGGGCGTGGAGAATACGATGTACGTTGTGTTTTCGCTTGTTGCCCAATTGTTGGATGGCCTGTTTGTTTGCTGATGTTGTGTAAAGCGCTTTATAGACTAGAGACCGCCCGGAAGGAGATTATCTGGGTAGAATTTGGGAGATTATATGTTATAGACATATAGACGGGCTATGGGAAATCGCCAGTGCTGATTAATTTATAGCGTGATGCCGAAGAAGGTCAGAAACTTGAGTAAACTGTACAATTTATACAAAAACCGATACCTAGCCAAGTGTGTGAAATTGAAATCCGCTCTGACATATTCCGTTTCCGGTTCGATTCAACTGCATTTGCGTGCCCGCCGCTGGAAGCGCTTCATGCGGAGCGACCACTCGTCCTTCCATTCGAGGACCACCGAGCTGGGTCCGATGGCCAAGTAACCAGGCGCCGCCTCCGAGTCACGTCCAAGGATGAGATACGATCTGAAGAGTGGGAAATCCAAGAAACACGGCGTGTTAGATGTTGCCCAAGGCCTACAATCCCTAAGGCTACGTACTCATGCCAACTTCTCTTCTTGAATCAAAATGTTAGCAGCGGATTTTCGTTAACATCACTTATGTTGTTGGCATGAGTAATGAGCCATCAGCCCATTGATAACCCACTTATTTACACCATAGGTTTTTGGGTAATACTCACTTGTTGAGCTTTATTTTTGGACACTGGCACTCGATGCTCTTGCGCGGCACCAGCAGCATCATGTTGCCCCTTCCGAGCAGGGAGCTCGTGGTGCCCGACATGGGATTCCGCTTGAAGATCGTCTGGATGTTGATCTCGTACTTGTAGATCTCGTTCTGCCGCTCTATGGAGAACTTCTCCGTGCTGATGTCCTGGGAGGCGCGATCGTGGCCAATCACCTTGGCCAATATAGCTGAAAGCCAAATAGTAATGGGAAATTGTGCAGATGATGAAGAGGAATTGCTTTCTTTCACGAGGTATGCTTTGATATCGAACTCACCATAATCTTCCATGCAAAACTTGTTGAGATTGAGCTTCTTGGGACTCGCCTTGCACTTGCCGCAGTCTGTGGATAAGTAATTCATATATTTCCGCCAAGCGGCCGCGATTTTCCCTCAGTGTACTCACACTTCTTCATCTCCTCCACCTGCGAGCCACCGCCATCCTTGTAGTCACCAGTGCCACCGCCTCCGCCTCCGCCGCCGCCAGCACTCTCGGCCTGAATCATGTTCGCATTGGTGGGCACCTCTGTTAATTTTAATGAGAAAAGCAGGGGATTAGAAACCATGGCTTCCAGGGACCCAAGGCGATCTCGATTTCTTGCTACTCACTGATGCAGGGTGCCACGTGGGAGCGGGTCTGCTGGTAGCCCCGGGCACATCGGTTGCACGTTAGTCCGGTGACGCCCTCCTTGCAGGGACACTGGCCACTCAGGTGATTGCACGTCTTGCCCGTCGAGCCCACTGGATGGCAATCGCAACCTGCGAAGGGGGAGGTATGTCATCCTCATTAGAGCGCATCCCCAATCACCCAATCACCCAACCATCCATCCATCTATCCAGCCATCCAACTATCTACGCCACACAGCTGTCTGTCTTTCCATCCGTCTGGCAGACAGCTTATGGGACCACTGATTGATGACAGCTTATTATCAATAAAGCGGGGAACTGGGGAATTCCCTGACAGGTCGGACATTTAGTGACAGGAGCAGAAATGTAGCATGCCCACTACAGGGGATAAGAATGTATTACAAATACCCGTGTGCGGGTCAAACTAATTAAATCCGCGATGGGTGAACTTCGACCGTTTCAGGTGGCTTGAATGTAACTAGCTGCAAGTCGAGCACTGCACTTGAGTGCACACTTCGGATTAACTTGAAACGGGCATACCCCAGAGTGCCAACTATGTTCATATGGATGCTTATAACTGGCCACCTCATTGCGTTGTCTCTCATTCAATCAGCAGAAGACAGTAGACAGTGGACAGAAGACAGTGGACAGCAGACAAGAGAAAGCTGAACTCACGCTTGCAGACTTTGCGATGATTTGGCGGCTTGGTGGCATCCCGATAATATCCCTCGCGGCAGTAGTGGCAGTATCTTCCGGTAGTATCGTGCTGGCAGTTGTAGCACACTCCGCCCGAAACCCGGCCAGATAGTTTGTACAGCTCCAGGTTGAAGCGGCAGCGACGGGCGTGTCCGTTGCACTGGCACACTGAAAGCAGACAGAGAAAAATGCGTTAAAAATGGATTTAAATAAATCATATTAAAAATAAATTACAAAGCTACTCAACTGTCTGAAGAAAGATTTTTTTTTTTTTCTTTTTTTTTCTTTTTTTTCTTTTTTTTTCTTTTTTTTCTTTTTTTTCCCCCTTTTTTTTCTTCTTTTTTTTTTTTTTCTTTTTTTTTTCTTACAGCTTTAGTGAGACGTACGGGGAAACCCCTTTGTGTCCTATAACTATAGTCTAGTTAGCTTTATCAATTTAACAACATTTTAACAATAACGAAACAATCACAGATAACAAATAATTTAAGAGTCAGAAAGTGATGTATTTTTTGTTTGCATCCACTGTAAGCGAGCCACCTCTTCCCACATTATCGCTGCCATTTTCCAACTGAAACCGAACGACACCACGAAAAGCTGCAACAACTGGCCACCGCAAGCAGTTTGGTCCGTTGGTTACACATAGTTGGACCGAATTACCGTCATGACCTAACGAGCTTAACCCGCTCCTATTTTGTTATTATCCAGGATAACACCATCGGGTGTTCCGAGGAGAGCTAATCATTTAATGGCGTACGGTTGTGTGTCGTTTCTCCTTCTGCTGGACGATGGGATGCTGGATGGGATGGGATGGGATGGATCCGGACCGGATCCGTAGATTTCATAAATAATTAATAATGATGGGAAACTGTTACGTGCTCTATTTTTCGGACAGGTGCGGGGGCAGCTGGGTGGCTGCCCCTTGTGCCTTACTCCCTGTCTTGGCTATGATTGATTATGGTTGTTGTTGTGGGCGCTGATGCTGTATTGTAGCTGCCTTGATTGATGAAAAAAATGGGCGGAAAGGGTGGGCGCCTGCCCTTTGTGTCTATGTTTTTAATGCTCTTACTTGCCGCTGCTCCTTATCGATTTTCCAGACTGACCAACCGCCCACTTGGCGCAACGTAAATGTTCATTTAATTAGTCGGAAAATATCATAAAATAATTTTTGCTGCTAATTGGCAGCACTTGACTTCAATTTATGGCGTTCCTGTGTCCAGAGCCTCTGAGTTTCTTTCGATTACATTCCACCCACTCTCTGCATTTTGGGCAGGGGCACTAAGGGTGATTTACACACAAACGCAGACACACACGTGTCTTCTTTGAACACATCACACAGTTGCGGCCAACATCTTAGATATACCTGCTTCAAATGGTAATTTACTTAGGTTGCAGGGAACAAGATGTACTTGCAGCACAATTCCAGATACTCGCCACTATTTTTGCGACCCCATCTGTGCTTATATAAATGTATGTACTGGGATGGGCGCCCTTCGGCATTGGAGACCGGGGATGGGCACTTGGTGATTGCCTTTGGTGACTGGTGCGACTATTGTGATTGCTGTTGCCTCATATTTTTCATATCTTATGTCTGCATCATCGACGAAGGATGAAGGCTGACAACAAAGGAGCTGCCTGGGAGGAAGACAACGCGGCTGGCCGTTCGCTTATTTGGCAAATAATAACAACAGCAGCAACAATGGACTCATGGAGCCACCCGGAATCCCCGCCAGCCTCATGGGAATACTTATCGAAGGACCTTATCCCGGCAGCAGGCACACGACATGTGCCCCATCCCGAACCCACCACATTGTCATCATCGTCGCCAGTGCACAATTTAAAATGGATTTTATTCTCACTCGTCACTCGACTTCTGCGGGGTCAAGGCCGTGGTATGGCCGAAAAGGGGGCGGTTTTGTGTGCAGAAATGGGGATAATGCCGCAAAAAGTGTATTATATTAGTTGGTGACGGATCACAGATGCTTGTCTAACTTCCAAGCTAATGTAATGCGGTTTGATACATTAAAGCGCTGCTTCAAGTTTAGTATTTATGACTGCAACCTGGGACAGCTCTATTATTATGCAGCCCACTGTTTGCTCATAAGGAGCATTCCCTGTTCCTTGTGCATCCTCAGCCAGAGCTTCCTTTCCATTGTCACGGCTGCTGCGTCAATATGAATCTTATTACGAGCTTTATTTCTTCTCGTTTGCCCATATCGCATTTAATGATGATAATAATGATATTGACCGCCAACGAACGTCCACTTTATACCCCAGCCAAATGGTCTTCGTGGCAGCTTCCTATTGTCGCATTGCCATTGACACGCATTGTAATTGAGTTGATATGGCGGAACGATAAGCTGCCTTCAACGAGGCGAGTCCCGCAAAAATTCCACGGCTGTCGAGCGGCACAGAGCCCACATAAATTTCCGGGCAGACAATTAGAAGAACCAAAAAAAAATCTCCAAAAAAAAAGCCCCAAACAAAAAACCAAGCACAAATATTCGAAGCAGCCGCCGATTAGCCAAAGTAGCACATAAATTGTCAGTGGCCTCTGGTTTTGGGAAAACTGTGAAAATCGAACATCGGGATTTACTCAAGCATGGCCAACGCTGCAGTCGATCGCGATCGGCTTAATTGGCCAACAATAAAACGCATTTTACGCGAATTTACTTCACAGTTCATTTGCTGCGTGTTCTGGCCCCATTTTCCGCTCCCTCCTCCCATTTTCCGGCTAGGAAACTGCACTGCGATTACTGGGCCAGGCGGCCAGTGAAACTTGCACATGTTGGCCAAGAATTCTCCACGCTTGCCGATACTTTTGATATACGTTTGGGTCGAGGCAAAGACCCAGACCCATCGGGTCTAGGCAGAGAAAAATTTGCAGACGGTCGAGAAAAGAAAAGTTCATAATTTAGCTGCGATTTTAATTAAAAGCCAAACACTGCGACGGGGAGGAAAATGCGACAGGGAAAACGAACGGAAAAGTGGCCAGGCACATGCAAGGCCAACAAAAGTGCGAAAACAGCAACGTGCTCCGCAGATAAAGGAAAATAAAGGAAAACATGTGAAAATCATTTTGCACCCAGTACGCCCGAGGTGGGGTAGCTGCTAGAGGGTATCCGCTAGATGGTACATGTTATTGGGCACGCGGTATGGGGTACGGGGTATGGGTCCGGGTATGATGAGGCCCGGCGCCGACAGATAAGCCGGGACCGGACTGGTCCATTGCCCGTTCATAAGTCGACGAGTCTGGGAGTTATGTGCCCGTTTGCTGTAAAGCGGCACAAAAATTATGGGCGAAAACCAAACAGGCCCCAATTGCGGAGGAGAGTACGAGAGTTTGGCGGGGCGTGCGGGGGATTTTCGCCAGACCATACCATCTATAAACTGGCTACAAAATGTCTAAATTTTTCCCATACGAAAGGAGAAAAGTGGGAGGTACTGACAGCAGAGAAAACGAACAAGTAATGCACAAAACAGTAAAAGAAAAATAGAACTCGACGGGAAAAGAATCGAAAAGTCAGACTGTGGGGAAGTAACGCGATATGATATGATCTTGAGTACTTGTACTCGCATTCGAGCTGCAAGAGGCGCCAGACTGTATCTGTATCTGTATCTGTATCTGCGTCTGCATGTGTATACGTTTTTGTATCTGCCGAAGAATGGAGGAATTCTCCGGGGAACAATGTTGCCGAAAGTGAGCGAATGGAAATGAGGCAAGCACGTTCCCATAAATCATAAAGAAGGAATTTACGACAATAGTCGGATTCAGATAGTGCAGATAGGGTAAATAGTAAATTGCAGCCATAAAGCACATAATGAAGCTTAATAGTGAGAAAAACTGTTAACGACTCCATAAGTTTTCCCCAATTTAATAGTAGCTCTCATCAACATAAGCTGACAATGCGCCACCGTAATCCTTTCAAGAATGAGCTTCATGCCACAAGTTGCATTCCAGATTTGGCAGACTCTTCGCCAAAACCATGAGTTTATTGGTCCAAATATGGAATGTCATGCCTCGCTGAGCTCGCAATTAAGGCGCTAATCGAACTGGATTCCATTTTTTGCAAAAAAAAGAAGAAATATTTGCAAATTTGGCCAAAAGTACTAGGGCATTGGTAATTAGTTGCCTAATGCTGCTATTCTACCAAATTCCATTGTGGTTGTACTGCTCATAACTTGAATTATATTTTACTTTGCCCGCCATGTTAATGTGTCTGCATCAGCACATTCATTGAAATAAATTTGCCTTCTCGAAAATATCCAAACGAAAATATCCCATCTATCTACACTCACGAATAAAGCAGCGAAAATTTGCTTTGCCTCACAAAGAGTTGTTTGCAGGCATTGTCCTTGATTTTTCGTACAGGACCTGCTAAATTGCTGTGAGTTTTTCCCGGCAGCTTTGTGTAATTTTCTCGCCCGTTGACAAGAAAATGTGGCCCGTTTTCACTTTCATTTCATGGGCTCGTCGCACGTTCCTCTTTGGTTATATTATTTTTATTGTTATTTTTACGTTCTGGCTGCGTTATTTGCTTGGCGACGATTTGTGTGTTTTAGAATTCGGTGTGATTTGAATTTTCAATGGGATGCCCATTTCCGAACAGAGGCCGAATTTGGCTAAATGTGTGTGTTGTAAAAACGAGGGGACGAAAAAAGAAAAGCAAGTGAAGCATGAAGGCAGCGAGACAGTCTGTTTTTCCCCAGCTGATTTCCCGCCGCTTTTCCCGCTTGCCAATGATTTCAAAAATGCTGCCACGCATAATTTTATTTATTTTTCAATTTTTCCGCCCTGCTACTAAGCACTTTGCTTGCTTTTCGGCTAAGTCTGTTATGATATCCACCAGAATGCGTTGACAGTTTTTTTTGAGTTTACACCTTTTTCACTCAACGAAATTCTGCGAAATTTGGCTTGCCAAAATATTCGACGCCTGAATGGCAACTGACTTTTAAATTTAGCCCGTGAGTGCGTTTTCCGCACTTTGGCTTTTCCTCGCTATTTCGGGTGGTCTATTTTCTTCTAATGAGACATAAAACTTGATTGTTCGCTAAAAGGCGATTGTGTGCCAAATGTAATTATATTAGTACACAGAAAAGAAAAGTGTGTTTTAGGCACAGGAAGTAAAGGTAATACCCACACTCCTGTTAAAACACAAAGAAAACTTTGT